CAAAATCCAAGTTTACATGGAACAGTTAAATTAAAAAGGACAAAGGCAATTCAGAGACGAGTCACTGCTAATAAGAACCTGCTTTGCACATAAGAGAATCCTGGTTTAATTCCTGGAAGAGGCCCCAACTTGAAAACCTAGGGAGGCTTTATCAGATAGTATGTAATACTCTATATTGAAGAATCAAAAATCAGATTTGGCCAACTCCAGTTTTCTATAAAGGTTGCACTGCTGGTAGGACTGGACCTAAATTTTACAAGATTAATTTTTGTTGCAATCATTGGAACAATGGCATTATGCAATAATTTCAGATTACAGCCCCCAAAAGATCATTCATGTCAAGAAATCCCACAGCTATAATTTATTGCCTTAATTTGGGGGTGATGATAGTGAAAGACCACACTCATTCCTGTCTTCTTCAGGAAATTATATAGTCTGCCTATTCTGCATGCTCACCCAAAGTTACACAATTATATCTGGAAAAAAAAAAAATCCCACAAGTGAGAAAGCCCTTTTTTGGAGAAAAGCATCAAGCACTCCCTCTGTTTCACATCATTCTCGCTACAACTTTTTCTGCCACTGATGAATAAAATAAGTAATTGCAGAAAGAAATCCATGCTAAGGTGATCAGTTTTCAGCTAGCAATTAGCAGGAGCCCTCTTCTTAGCTCGCCTGAGGCCCACCGGGTAACCAACATCCCACATTAAAAATAGAGAATGACACAATCCCAAACTGCCTTTACTGGAAGCTGAGGTTGCCAATGATAAACAGGTTTGCCTCTTGGCTACTGTAGCTCAAATTGGATGGAGGGAAGAACTGGAAATAAAATTGTTACATATTTTTTTAAAAACCAGGCACAATTCGTTTTGAAAATCACTACTTAAAAAAGGAGTCATTATTTTCCTTCAAAGCCATATTGCTAAAACTCTTTCCAAGAGTTCAATTTAGGAGACCAAAGAGTATTTCGACACCCCCTCCAAAGGAGAGCTTCCAAAGTACAGCATTTGGCAACCCCCCAAGAAATCTAAGTCAGGATCTCCGTCATCAGAGTTCACACAACTTAATACAAGACAGTAAGCAGCAGCCGCAGCAGCAGCTACTGGCAATGAAGCAGCCCTTCCCCCAGCCAGATTCCAGTTCTCAAACTTAATAAAAAAAAAAACCTGCATCCCTTTCAAGTGTATTCAGTACTGATGTTCTTGGTAAAACAAGGAGGGGGGGGGAGGGAGGAAGCCAGTAAGTCAGAACCAAGAGTTTTCACTTTGAGACTTAGGATATGAAGGATAAGGAAGAGGGTATATAATTATCTTCCCAAAGCTGCAATATAGCTCCATTTAAGTTATGGATTAATAGCAGAATTTAGACCAAAATATAGAACTTCTATATTTTCAGACTGGAAAAAGAGGGAGAGAAAAAAAGATGGATGGCGGGGATATTTATATAACTACCAGTGGCATTATCTCAACTTCCTCTCTCGATCCAAAGATTAAAAATATGAGTTAGGCATTGCTGCATGCCATCCAAGGAAGACTTACCATATGCCAGAAAGTGTTCATGTAACTTTTTTTTTAAAAATAAAACTTTTTAGGTCCATCATCTTTCCTAAAAATATAACAGCCAAAGATTCAATGGTCCGTCACAATGTTTGCCCACTATTAGCCAATCAATCAGTTTACTGATGGAGGACCCAATTGTTCTTTTCACACTGCTAACAGCAGCAGGAAATCAGTGAAATGTTTCCCATGGCCAGGTGTCCAATGAGAAAAGAGAGCTCTTTTATTAGCTACAATCCTCACATACTCAAAAGCACTTGAGTTCACTACTATACAGGATAGGCTCTTCACACTGTAGTCCTTGACCAAGGCTTGGGCAACTCCCACCCACCCACCCAACACAGTACAATTAAGCAAGGCAAAAGGAAGCTGCCATCCTCATGGATTTCTTATTTCAATTATCTCTCTCTACACACACACACACTCATTGCTGTTGCTCATTCTCCCTTTATGCTACAGCATAAAAGTCGAGGAACCTGTTTAGGCCTTCTCATATACACCAGATAATGGAAAATAGAAACAAAATAGAACCCAGCAATTCCCTTTAAAAAGCTGCCTTCCCAAGAGCATTGTTTTTTTTTAAAAAAAAAACTTTACTTTTTCTAACATTTAGGAATCTATTCTCTATACAATTTAGTGTACCCTAATTCACATTCTATTTTCCTTCCCAGAAATTATCAATACTGTTCTTTAAAAGCATTTTAAATCATATTTCTTTCTAAGGTATTCCAACCCAAGACTGTCTAATCAATATCTACACTTAATTTAGACATTTACTTCTCATATTTAGTTTATTCAAATCTTATTAGGTGCTTTTAGGGGGCTTTTCTTGTTGAGTGGGGTAACAAAAGGAGTGTTTAATCCATGTGCCTATCACTTCATTCCTTTAAAAATTTATGAAAAGAGCCTCTTCACTTACTTCTATGGCACATTTGGAGGTAGCAATAAGGAGATTCGTACTTTTATATGCCCTGCATCCATTTTAAGAGAGCCTTCTTGACGAGAACACAAGACTCCCCTTTCAAGAGAACTCAATCAATTCAGAAAATTCAAATCCTATATTTTGCACTCAACATCCCTACTCCAGTTGCTTAATTTCCAATCCATGTTCAGTCCCCTAATTGACTATTAAAAAGGTATGACAGGCTGCTTTTTTGTTATTATCTTCTAAAGTAGCACTTTAGCCTTTACCTACAGAGATTTTTTTTTAAAACCAAGCTACATCTTTGATGTTAGAAAGGAGAAGCTTCCAAAGTGGGCCTTTGGAATGAAAGGCATATTTCCTTAATATACTGGATGGACAGATAAATAGATGATAGAAAAAGAGAGAGGGGGAGAGAGAGAGATTTTTCCATGTGGGAAGGGCTGGTTGCTCAATTCTTACCAGGAGCTGAAGCAAGACATCTCTCAGGATTGTATTTATTTTTTGGGAGGGGGGGGGAATTAGGGGAGGAGAGGCAGAAACGCTGGCCTTTTCACATTTCCTTACATCTAGATTTGCTAGAAACATCTTTTTTTTCCCCTAATCCAGGTCATTTGTTTTCTTTGTGTGTGTGTGTGTGTGAGAGGGAAAAGATTTCATCAACTGCATTCCACACTCCTGCGTGTCCCTATATTTGGAAGAAGGGCTCTGTCTTTAAAAGAGGACGTCGTTCTTCGAGGACTGGTTTTGAGGAGAGAAGGTCTCCCCCTCTTCCTGCTCCCTCGCCAAATTAAGGAGAAAGGGACTCCACCTTCCTTTCCTCCCCAACCCTGTGTTGGTGAAAGAAAGCCCCCCATTTTCCAGCCTAGCACTTTTCGAGCTCTCATTAAAAGGAGGCTACTCTTCTCCCCCCCCTTAACCAACTTCTCCTAATATAAGGGGGGGGGTCGCTACCCCGCCCCCCTCGCGGCCCGAAGACCCACCTTGCGTCCCTGGTAGGCCTCGAAGGCTCGCAGGGCCGATTCAGTCAGCTTGACGTGGAAGACAGAGACTCGTGTGCCGCGGCCGAGGCGCCCGCAGGACAGCGCGTACCCCCTCTCAGCCAGCGCCGCCATCTTGGGAATCTCCGCGGCGGTGGCGGCGGAAGCCCCTGGGACACGCCCCCTCAACCATTATGGAGCAGAAACGCCCCTGTGTAACGTCATCCAGCCGCGCGGCGGCAGGCTTAAAGCTGCAAAGTACGACGGGAAGTGTAGTTTACAACTTCTCTTTGCTTGGCTTATGCTGTAGGCGCCCCCTTCTGGTAACACTTCATCATCGCTTATTGGCGGGAGCTGAAGCCACAATCTGCGCAGGGGCTACATGCCGTTAGGTCTTCTAAAATGTTTCTCTATTTCACTTTTTGAAGTGTTCTAAATCAGGAGTCTCCAACCTTGGCAAGTTTAAGCCTGGAGGACTTCAACTCCCAGAATTCCCAAGCCAGCAAAGCTGGCTGGGGAATTCTGGGAGTTGAAGTCCTCCAGGCTTAAAAGCTGCTAAGGTTGGAGACCCTTGTTCTAAATTTTAAGGTAAGACTTTTTTTTTTTACGGTGTGCGGTGGTGGCTCTAGGAAATGTTGATTTTATAGATTCCAAATATGTACAGGTCTTTTATGCAGAAAATCTCCTAAAAGAATTTGGTGCCCCTTCCTTAAAAGTAGGCAATGACGTTAGTTTTAGTGTTCGCGCCATTAGATGAATGAAATAAATGTCTGTGCAAGACGTTAAGGGCTACCGCTGTAGAAGAAAGGGGGGAAAATGGTGATGAGATCAACTAAGCCTCTTTTTGCTTCCCCTCGGACAAGCTATAAGACTTAAATCAAAATGGTTCACAAACATATTCGTGTGTAATATGAAATGAGGTGGGTATATGCAATGCACATAAAATTTTCAAAGATTCGCAGATCGGTGCTGATGATTAATAAATTGTCATAGGGAGCATTGTTATGATTGCATTCATTTTTATGCAAATGATCATATTCAACATTTGAAACCGACGATCAAATACTGCAGAGACGCATTTGAGCCAAGTAAACAGGAGAATACAATTTGAAGTTTGTGTTGATCGAGTGTTAATAACCCTTCGGTTGATAGGAAAGCCTTAAATACTTACATATACAACCTTTACTTTATCCTATTGCAATGTACCAAGAACTACCGTGTATTTCTATAGAGAGCGGTTATAAACCACCAACATTCCCACGCAAAGAATTCTGGGGAGCGCCTCCCCTCTTCGCTTGTTTCTAGACAGAGGGGCGTGGTGATAGCGAAGACACGCCATTGGTGAAACGCGCCTACAAGAAGGCGTGGCTATTCAAATTAACCTTGATATCAGACAGCTGAGCCGTCAACGGTTTGGCCCACCGGAGTTAGGGCTGCTAAAATAGGAACTGTCAATAGGTGGCAGCAGTCGCCCTAGCATAGAGGGTGAGGCTGCTTTACCGCTCTTCTTCGCATCTATGAGCTAAGAGAGCTTTGTCCGGCAAGGGAAAACAGACATGATCCGGAAGATATCGCTGCGAATCACCGCCCCTTCCGCTTAACCTTTCCGTTTGTCTCCTTAGCACGAACTGCAAGGACTTCAGTTTCGAGGAAGAGCAAGTATGGGCGAATGTTCGGGTCGGAGCTGGGAGGGGAGGGGAGGTATGAAAGCGGAGGAGGAAGGCAGCGGACTCGGTGGCTCATGCGAGCGGAAACCGGCCGTTGTAGACTGGGGATGGACCCGTGCTTAGCCCCCTCCCAAAAAGTGCTTTCTTTCAAAAAGTAACTGGACTTTCTTTGGGTTTTTTTTCCCTTGAAGACGTTTCGCTTCTCATTCAAGAAGCTTCCTCAGTTCTGAGTCAGAGCTCCTTCAGTTCTGAGCCAGAACTGAAGAAGCTGCTTGGATGAGAAGCGAAACGTCTTCAAGAGAAAAACAAAAACAAAGAAAATCCAGTTGCCCTTTGAAAAAGCACCTTTGGACAACCGTAACCTGGATGACTGAGAATCACCATAGACCTTATTACATTGTTACCTCATACAGAGAGTGGTAAGGACAGCTGAGAAGATTATAGGAAGCTCGCTTCCCGTCATTCAGGATACTGCTTATAAGCACTATGTGCTTAGAGCTCGAAGCATTGTTAGAGACCCCGCACACCCACTTCAAGGATTGTTTCTGTTGCTTCCCTCTGGGAAGAGGTTTTGAAGCATTGCTAGCAGGACTACCACATTCTGTAACAGTTTTCTTCTAGGCCATCCGTCTGGTAAACTTGCAAGATTCATTTTTCTTGCCATGTACATGTATACAACTGAACTAGACTGTGTTGTTTCTCTGTACAGTATAATATTTGTGGTGATATGCATAATTTTGTACTTTGTCATGTTTATGTAGTTTATATTGGGGGAGGTGACCCTTTGAGAGCTGAATGCAATGAAATTTCATTTTAAAGTATGCTGATTAGTGTACGTTCAAAGTTCAAAGTGACAATAAGGTAATAACTTTAAGTCTACTTAGTCTAGATCTGGGGCCTCCAAACTTGACGTGCTGAAGACTCATGGACTTCAACTCCCAGAGTTTCCCAGCCAGCATTTAACTTGACAAGGTCCAGAAACACTAGTAGTCTAGATCAGTGGTCGCCAACCAGTGGGCTGTGAGAAAATTTTGGTGGGCTGCAGAGAAATCTCACCCCCCAAAGCAATTAATCCAGACTGCGCAGAAACACAAGGCTGCGCCACCCGCATGGCCCGCGGGAACCCTCCCAGCCCACTCACTCCTTACCCGGTAAACTTGCCTTCTAAATTTCTATTTTTCCTTTTTCTGACCATCAGCTGTTCTGTGCGGGGAGATTTAGATTAGCTAAGAAGCAGGAAATGGTTGGATTTTTTTGCTTTCTAGCTAGCATTTAGATCTTTGGCTCTGCTTTTAAGTACAGCCAAACATCCCTTAGGACTGAAGGTTTGTTTGCAAGCAAATTAAGTGCAGACTCATGGCAAGCAAATTTGAGAGACTGAGCTAGCCAATGACAGATAGATAGATCAATGAATGATTCTGCAAGCAATTCAATGTGCCTGCTCTGCCTGATTTTGGGTAAAAGTTGCTCTTTTTTTAAAATAAAAAATTCAATATTTACATGCATGGTGTATTGTGAGTTAATTTTGTGAGTTTGCTTGCTAGCAAATTTTATGAGTTTACTTGCAAGCAAATTTTATGTGACACACTGAGCTAGCCAATGGGCAGATAGATTTCTGAATGAATCTGTGATTCTGTGAGCAACTCAATCTGCCTGCCTGCTTTGCCCGATTTTGGGTAAAAGTTGCTCTTTTTTTAAAATAAAAATTTCAATATTTATATGCATGGTGTGTTGTGAGTTAATTTTATGAGTTTGCTTGCAAGCAAATTTTATGTGACAGACTGAGCTAGTGGCAGATAGATCTCTGATTGAATCTGTGGTTCTATGAACAACTCAATCTGCTTTCCTGCTTTGCCTGATTTTGGATAAAATTTGCTCTTTTTTAATAAAAAATCCAATATTTATATAAATATAATATTTACATACAAGCCATGCCCAGCCAGTCACATGACCACCAAGCCACACCCACAAATTAGGCCACACCCACAGAACCAGTTAGTGATCCCTGGGATCTAAAATTATGAGTTTGGTGGTCCCTGAGGTCCAAAAGGTTGGCGACCCCTGGTCTAGATAACATAAGAAGCCTTCTGAACATGTACAGGGACTGCTGCTCTTTTGGTAGCCTTTGTGAAAGTACACTATTGCTTTTCGCTAATAGGTTATCAGAGTTACTGTTCTGAAGAAGGTGGGATGAGGGTGGGATAGGTTATGCTTCAACGTTTCTCCATTCGGAGAACGTTTACTTCTGAGCCTCTACAGCAGGGGGTCTTCAAACTTGACAGCTTTAAGACTTGTGGACTTCAACTCCCAGAATTCCTCCTCCAGTCATGTTAGCTCAGGAATTCTGGGAGTTGAAGTCCACAAGTCTTAAACTTGCCAAGTTTGAAGACCCTTGCTCTACAGAAAGCCCCCAGTGAATCCAGACCATTAACTTTGCAAGACAAAGGTAAATTGCCTCGTCTTCCTCTCTTGTCTCTCCAGAGAACTACTAAGAAATTCTTCCTTTTAATAGTTCAGTTTATGGTTTATTGATTAGTCCAATACCGTATCAAATCAAATAAGGGAAAATAATGCAGCATTTTGATATATGAAAAATATTAACATAATCAGATAAGACAACCCCAATCTGATCTAGATAGGAAGTTCTCAGTTGAATGGCTTTAGCTGTACAGGGGGCAGTTTGATTGGTGCCGTGGCCTAGAGGCGGAGCTCTCACTTCACAATCAGGAGGCTGTGAGTTCAATCCTAGGTAGAGGCAGATATTTCTCTTCCTGGGCACACTGAGAATATATCTGCTGAAAATACTCCGCGTTGGTGACAGGTAGGGCATCCAGCCAGTAAACATTCTCATTCAATTGCCCAGATTCCACCCTGCAAGGGATTATGGAGTTGTTAAAAGAGGATGATAAAGATGGCAGTCCTTTTTACTGTTCGTGTATAGCAGGGGTCCCCAAACTTGGCAACTTTAAGACTTGTGGACTTCAACTCCCATAGCATCGCTGGCTGAGGAATTCTGGGAGCTGAGGTCCACAAGTCTTAAAGTTGCCAAGTTTGGAGACCTCTGATGTATAGTATAGTATCTTGGATGAAATAAAATAGTTTATTGATGGGGTCCTAATAGGTTATCAGTTAGCAACTTTAAATGCTGTGTGTGTTCTGGCTGAAGCATGAAAGTGGCAGTCAAAGAGTGACACACTACATTTGTAGTGTGTCACATGCAAACAGTCACTAAATGAACTATTATAAGTCAAGGACTACCTGTACATTACAATCATGGCCAACAGTAGGAACAGAATAATCTCAATTTAAGCAGGGGTGGGATTCAAATTTTTTAACAACCGGTTCTGTGGGCATGGCTAAGTTGGTGGGCGTGGCTTGGTCATGTTATTGGCTGGGCGTGGCCAATTCAATATCACTCACATCGAAGCACGCATCTCCTCGCCTGGCTTCTCATGACTGTGGGGATGGTGCAACAGTCGTAAGTGTGAAAAATGGTCATAAGTCACTTTTTTCAGTGCCATTATAACTTTGAATGGTCACTCCACACAAGCAAAGTACCAGCAAAGGAGGGGGGAAAAACTCAAGAGAAGTTCCTGAGACAGGAAGTCTAGTCCTGCCAAGAACGTAATAAGGGTTAACGGAGAGGCAGTTTTTGTAAGCAACACCAGAATGTTTCCTTCCTGCCTTCCTTACAGGATTAGGCCAGTGATTTTTTCTAACAACCGGTTCTCTGAACTGCTTAGAATGTTAACAACCGGTTCTAGCAAATAGGTGCGAACTGGTAGAATCCCACCCCTAAATTTAAGGTAATAAAGTCTTGCCTGATTTCCTACCTTTCTAAATGCAGGCAACAGGAACTCCCTTCTCGGGAAGGGTGCCACGACTGAGCAAACCCTGCTTGAGTAATCACCAGTTTGTTGTATGGTAAGTAGACTTGAAATTGGCTCTCAGAAAAGTAACCCAAATTCTGTAGGTGGCTTTACAGGTAGGCAGTCAATTGTCAAGAAAGGATTAGTGTGGTCCTTTCTTCATCAGTTTATATTATTAGTGAAATGCTGTCAAGTTGTGTACTTCTGTGATCATGTGGACAAAGGCTCACCGTTGTTGATCACTATTTTATAACTCATAGTTCTTCCAAAGGCATCCCAGTAAACCCTTTGTTCTCCTCCATGCTGCATCGAGAGCCCAGGATGGGTTGACTCCTTCCTATGACGTCATTTAGCTGAGTCTGCACTAAGATATAAAAGCCAGCCCCCGGAAGAGACCCCAGCTTTTGACTCAGCTCCTTTCAGTCAGTAGCTGTGTCTCTGAAAGCTTCTGTTAGATAACACTCATCAGCGATCTTCAGTACCGTTTTTCCTCGTTTCAAGCAGCTCCCAGGATCTGGGCAGCTGCTCTTCCAGGAGAGCAGGGCTCTCTCTCTCTCTCTTGCAACGTTGGGAGCAGCGTTGCCAGAGCGCTGTGCAGGCAAGTTGGGCAGCGTCTGTAGACCTCCCCCACGCCTGCGGTTTGAGCGGTCGTAAAAAACGATTGGCAAACCGATAACAGCTTCAGCCAGCTGAGGTTCTGTAGATAGCACTCACTAGCGATCTTCAGTACCTTTTTTCCTCGCTTCAGCAACTCTCAGGATCTGGGCAGCTGCTCTTCCAGGAGAGCAGGGCTCTCTCTCTCTCTCTCTCCTGCAACATTGGGAGCAGCGTTGCCAGAGCGCTGTTCAGGCAAGTTGGGCAGCGTCTGTAGACCTCCCCCACGCCTGCGGTTTGAGCGGTCGTAAAAAACGATCAGCAAACCGATACCAGCGTCAGCCAGCTGATCGTATGGCCAGCGGCTGCCCTTTCCTTTGCTGACTTCACTCAGGGCTCTTTATAGCCTAAGGAGAGGTTCTTCGATCTCGGACCCTGTTTCCCATAGTCAGCGGCCATCTTGGATTGAAGCCTTCCACCACGAGGTGAGCGGCCATTTTGTAACCCCGGGGGCCAATTTATACCCTAA